CCCTGTTGGTTACATCTGTGTAACATCTTTTATAAAGTTTTCTGGGCCATTGCACTGAATTTGTCAGCACACACTTGCCTTCCTATGAGCCACTTATCCACCTGTAAGCATAGACTTCTAGAAAGCCTTTACAGTCTTCATTCTTGCACTATAGATAGAAGTTATTGTGCTTGAACAGAGACCTTGTCTTCATTTCTCCACCATTATGGTGCTTGTTAATTATTTTAATTTATTTCAATGAATATTATTATGCACTGTATTTACGTGTCCAGTCTGTCCACTCCTTTTATTGCAATTTCTGGCCCTTTTAAAGTTCCTTTAAAATTTGGCCACTACCATTACCATGGGCTATAAATGCTAAAAAATTTAAAAAGGAATTCATTCTGTGCTAAAAAGTAATGGAAATGAATGCAATTAGGATTTTGATCAACTAAAACCCAAAATGTTTTCAAAATCCTACTCTCGTGATGTGAAGTTTACTATTCCATTTACAATGTTTTCATTAAAAATCCAATTTTGATCAGAATCAATTCAAACTCTAAGAACATAATGTATCGTAAAAAATAATAAAAAATTAACAAAAATTTTTATATTGACAATTTTTTCTAAATTTTCAAAAGACCATGTATAGTCTTTGGTCTGATTTTTTAGCAACTTCAAAATTTATAAAAACTTGGAATCAGCAGTATCAACTCAACTTTTCTACGTAACATAAACATGTATAATTATCTATCAGTGAAATTATAATAAAAATAGATAGTGAAACTTAATTGGCCTACTACTCTATATAACTTTATCTAGTACTTTTCCTTATGTTTTATGACTGATGTACATGTATTTCTATAGGTATCCAATGGTGGTAGGAGGGTCCAGTTGTTTGATGCTGATGCAGAGCAGGACGATGAAGATACGTGAACTATAAGCTTATTAATACTGTGTTATAGTAGTTTCAAAATTTTCTTTTATTTATAGTTATATTTCTCGTATATTATCTTTAGTTCTGTAATAGTTGTTCTTGGGGGAAAAAAATATTAAAAACGTCATTTTTCTGATTAACATTAACATTTGTCCATGGAGGGTGGTTACCGCGTACCGGCGGATTGCGTGTTAACAACAATGGCGTCGAGGTTGTATCATACTGGCATCCGTTTTAGTACTCACAATTCATTCAGGATGCAAGTAAAACTCTTCAGAATCACACTGTTACTTACCATTAACTTTTAGACTATTCTATCACTCAATAGAAATCTGAGAAGTACTGCATCACGTGAGACTACTAGCATTCAAGCTGAACTATTTTGTGTTACTATTTTTAGATGCATTCTTTGTCAAAAGGACCAAAGCTAACAGAATACCAGAATACCTTGATTTCAAAGGTAGTGGAACAAGAACGTTAACAATAGTTAGAAAATTTGATGGAGTCACAGAGGTATGTGTATTGTAATAATTATTGAGAATTTCTTGACACCTTTTTTAATAATTCATTCAGTCTTATATTTCACATTACAGTAGTTCCATTATTATTGAGTTTTTTAAAATTAATTTTACAGTAAGTAATACAATATAGCCTAAAACTGTATAGCACAAAATTTTCGAGAGCTGTAAATTTTGCAGATTTTACAATTCTTTGAAGATTCATAGCAATTAATTGAAGGAAAATTAAATTTTTATAGTACAAGAGGCAGAAGGTATAAATTTGTGAAAATGAAATCCACAAAATAGATTTTTAAGCAAATTTGCGTAATATACAGCCCTCAAAAATTTTGCACTATGTGGTATGAGGGAAGGCCTGCATGCATACCCTCTAAAAGAAAATTACTAATTTGCTTCAAAATTTGGCCAAATACCATACAAAAATTTTCCAAAAAAAGAAAATTGAGTAGGATTCATTTTGTGCTGAAAAGGATAAGTAAGAGTTTGAAAGACTAAATTCGAAATAAAATCTGGCTCTTGTGAGTTGTGACGTACGCCATCAAAAATCGAATTATGATTTATTGGCGGGGAATTAATATTGGCAATTGGCAGTTCTATTAAGAAATCGCCAACATAAAAATCTGCCATTTTGTTTCAATCTGAGCATGCTCAATGGCACATGGTACAAAATCGCCAATATAAAATTTGCTAATTAACTTTCAACAGGCAAATTTGCCAAATATTATTTACCAACTTGTATGGTACATGGTTTGGCCCAATTTTTACACAGCTTTAAAAATTCAATTGTAATTAGAATCTACTCAACAAATTTTCTAAATAACGTAAAGATCAAATTTATAGTAAAATACCCTGTATTAGGCCATTCCAATTAAATTCATAGTTTCTCCTTACACATGAGGTACTGATGCCGGCGGGCAATAAGTTAATTTTGATTATAATGTCACTAAATAAACATTATTAAAAATTGCCAAAAAGGCACAAAAGTTCCTTTTTTAGGTACTTAAAATTGTTTTTTGTACTACCTGGTTTATCAACAGTTCAGCACCCATATTAAATTAATTATCAATATAAGGCTGCTCACTTTGGCACAATAATAGGAACATTATTAGCAGTACAATATTTTATTTGTTCAAGATAATCATAATTTTTACAATGATATTTTACACTAATAGACAATAGGTAGGTCTAAGATCTTCAGCCTAGCAGGATGAGAGACAGGATTGACCTCAGGCTCAGGAATAGATTGTCTTTCACATTACCTATTAAAATAATAATAAAGTTTCATCAAAGTAGCAACTATGCCTGATTCCTTGTTCATCAATGAACTAGAGAGCGGTGAAGAGCCCAGTTATTCTTTAAAAAGAGTGAAAAGACACCTTAAAAGAAGCATGTGTTTACGTTATTATTATTTTTTAATATTTTAATTAAATAATCAAAATATTGGTGTGGGCAGGCAAGGAGAAACTTGAATTTAATTAAAGTGGCCTTATATTACTGGTTCTTTTGGTTAAACTTTGGTCTGCTACTCTTCATTACTCTATCTACTATATCTGCTTACATTGTATGACTGATGTACATGTACATGTATTTCTGTAGGTATCCAATGGTGGTAGGAGGATCCAGTTGTTTGATGCTGATGCAGAGCAGGACGATGAAGACCTATGAACTATAGCTTATATATTACTAGTGTTGTTCTACTTAAAAATATTGTTTAGTTGTGGCATAAGGACATTGATAATAATTATCAGAAAAATAGAGAGAAAAATGTAGTAAAAATTTGGATAGTATTCATTATCTCTGAGTTATTAAAAGTAGGTGTAAACTGTAAAATTTAATAAACAATGGCGTCGAGATTGTATCATACTGGCATCCGTTTTAGTGCTCACAATTCATTCAGGATGCAAGTAAAACTCTTCAGAATCACACTGTTACTTACTATTAACTTTTAGACTGTTCTATCACTCAATAGGAATCTGAGAAATACTGCATCACGTGATTTATTAGCATTCAACTGGAACTATTATTTGTGTGACTATTTTTAGATGCATTCTGTGTCAGAAGGACCAAAGCTAATAATATACCAGCATACCTTGATTACAAAGGTGGTGGAACAAGAATGTTGGCAATAGTTAGAAATGTCAATGGAGAAACAGAGGTATGTTTGACCAGCTAGTGCTAAGTATAATTATGCATAATGAATTTTAAGTATTTTAGTTGTACTCTAAAGTATCGTAAAAATTACCACCATTTTGGAGTTCCAAGTACAATGGGAAAAGGCAATGTTTTTGCTTTTGTACTTCTTAATGTACTCATAAAGTCAACGAGCCTACTGTAGACGCTGAATGGGGGGGGGGGGCTAGTAGCAAGATCGCTATCACAAATAAATACAGTAGTTTTTGGAGAATAATCTTTATGATCATTCCATAGAAACCATTGGAACTAACTCCAATGTTTGGCTTAAGAATGATGGCAGGAAATTTTTACTTGTATCACTGAATATACAGAAACTTAATTAAACTTAATTAGTTCAAAACTTGGCCAAAGAGCATGGGTTATACCGTATAGTGGGTTTTTTGAGGATAATAAATTTCACGAATGACCCATATCCGGAAGTTTGCGGAATTAATTTTTGCGAATTTCCACTAATCTGCCATCTTGTACCATATTAAATTGATTTTCAAGGAATTTAATTTCGCGAATCATGAAGAAATCAGTTCGCGAAATTTGTTATCCTCAAAAATTTCCCACTATATGGTAGTGTATAAAAATTGGCTAGAATATCTTTTGATATGCACACTTGTCCTTATGATATCAATTTTGAGTTGGCTAAGATTAAAGTTGGATTTTCTATGAATTTTTAAAGTTCCTTCAAAATAGGCTATGAATAGAAAAATTTTCAAAAAGAGAAGATTGAGTAGGATTTATACTGTCCTAATTTGTCAGAAAAAGCAAGGGAAACAAGGGCAAGTTAGAAACGAGCAATTATGAAAATATAATTTTCAATTCAAACTTCCTTCACCGCATGTATACGTCAGGGAAATGGAAAATTCTCCTTGCATTTTTGACGTAGTTTGACCAAAGACCATGCACTATAAGTACATGTTCTTAAGCAACTTTAACATTGTATGACTGATGTACATGTATTTCTGTAGGTATCCAATGGTGGTAGGAGGGTCCAGTTGTTTGATTTTGATGCAGAACAGGACGATGAAGATCATTGAACTATTAGTACTATAGTGTTGTTCTAGTTTTTAGTTCTAGTTTTTTTCACACTCAGGTTGTCATAACAAGTAGGTGAGGTTCATCATTGTCCAGGCCTCACCTCTTCCTTTGGGGATGAATCTAAATTTAACTAGGTGGATGTAGACATTAAGGGGTTGGTTGTGAGCCATAGATTGACATTTTTTACATTTCAATAAATAAATAAATGTAATGTAGCTCTTTGTCTAATGAGAGAAAAGAACGTTATCTCTTTGTGAGACAATTACTTGCATCATGTTCAGACCCTGCCATCATGACTGGGGTCTATATCACTGATCTACATAACCAATAGTTAATAAATTTGTTTCATGCTTGAATGCTGAATCAGCAATATTGCCCATAACGCCCAAATCTGATATCAGTAGTCTACTGTTACCTTATGATCAAAGCAGAACTGCACAGGCCAACTGAGGTAGTGACTTTTTGCTGTCCTATATAGAGAATATGTGAGGGAGACAGGCATGAAGTCTGTAAGTCATGAGAGAAATTTATATAGTAAATATGTCGATTACTACATCTGCTTCACTATTTTTCTTACTGTCTTAAAATTCTGCTAATTTTGGGGGTTTAAGAAATTTTAAAGGTCTTATTATTGCTTTTTGTTATTATGTTCAGGTGTCAATTTCATCTTGTTCTGACTTCTGGTGATTATGTTTGTCTGTCAATGGAGACAGGAATGTACATGCATGGCTATACGTACATGTATGTATGCTAAATACTGTAAGTAACATAGCGTACTATTACATGTCTATTAATAATATCAACCTTTCCTCCTATCTTGCTTTTCTGTTCTAATAAATTAATTTTAATGTTTTCCCAACAGAGTAACAATGCATAGTTTGAAGATTTATATGATTGAAATGAAAGTTATGAAACTGATCCTAATATGCTGGGGAAGCATTTTAGTAGTGATACCTGTACTATATAGACACTAGAGGTTAGTATACTTCATTATGTATGGAACTATGAGTAGAATGTTGCTTCAACTCAGAATCAAGGTACACGTATGTAGTTCACATACAGGCTTGTATATATACTTGTTGTTATAAATGGTTACTATGGGCCAGTACATGTAACTATGTTTTTTTACTGCTGCTTATTAAAGATTATTCCTATGTAGTCTTGCATAGCCAGACCACACCCTCCATGCCTCCGGGAGGGTCTGGTCAACTGACCATTCCTCAGTCGTTCTACTTCACCCAAAAATGGGTGAACCAATTTTTTTGTTTTGCTTCACCCAGAAACGAGTGAATTGACATAGTAACTCTTGACTCTTCTCTTCTTCTACCTTCTTCCTAAGTGACAAAAGCTAGAGCAACAACTATAACAAATATACATCTTCTCCCTCTCACGGCCCACTTGAGTTATGCTGATTAAAGGGCTACCAAAGCTCTCTTCCAAAAGATCAGCATCTCTATCAAATAAAAGAAGTTTTTTGCCTTTTAGGTCCTGCTCTTGAGCTCCCTGCCACAAAGAAGCAAGTAGTCAGTTGACGCATCCATTTCCCCCATTTTTGGGTGAAGTAGAACGACTGAGGAATGGTCAGTTGACCAGACCCTCCCAGAGGCACGGAGGGTGTGGTCTGGCTACACAAGACTAATTCCTATGAGCTTAATGTATCTCACTAACAGTAGAGTTATAAATTTTATTTCAAAAAAGTAAGTATAAAAACATAGCACACAATATTAATAATTATTAACACTACATGACGAATATAATTTTGTGTTTAGTAAAAACAGCACACAAAAAAATTAATTTATTACCACAATGAGTAGTAATATTAAAACATGGTATTTAATTGTTACTTAGTACACACAACACAAGTAATTACTTTATTATTGACATAAGGTGGACAAGGTAGACCATTACAGGTTGACAATGTGAAGTATAATAGAGCACCATTAGTACTATTTTCACTACCATCAATAGATTCAGGATTTTCATCAACACATTCATAAACTTTATTATTTGCATGATTATGTCGTTGAGTCATCAGATATCCTTTGTATTCTACAGTCCATGATGAAGGACAGCTGGTTCTAGCAGGAATCATCAGTTTAACACTCTTAGTAGATGTATAACATACTGCGCAAGGAGCATTGTGATCTTCCTTCCTTAAAAATATATTATTAACATAATCATATTCAGTACCATACATGAAAGAGGAATATATTGGCACATTTGTACTCATATATTGAGGGACCTTTGGTAAACAGACAAAGTTAGCTCCTCCTCCTGGATGATCATACCATTCACCTCCAGTTATTCCCTCATACAGTAGTTCAGTTCCAGTAGGACAGGACTTCCTTCCCCAACGAGTGTACACTACTCCTCCACCTTTAGGACCAGATTGTCCTACAGGTCCAGTTTCACCTTTATCTCCTTTCTCTCCCTTATCTCCTCTCTCTCCTTTCACTCCATCTCTTCCTGGTACTCCATCACGACCATCTCTACCACGTAATATTTGTAGATAAACCTCCTTCACATTAGTTTCATTAATGTATCCTTTGCTTGTTGACACAGATGATGAT